GGGAGTATTTGCCATTTTATATTAAAGAGTTGTAATCGCGTAACCGCTTAACAGCTGACTAATTGACAGCTACTGCTGTCAATTAGAAGTGCTTTTAATTTTTCAAAGTATTTCAAAGCTAAAATCAATCTTCAATCTTGCCAATTTCCATTGAAATATTATTGATTTAATGTAACTTATCTTGTATAACTCAGTTGTAGTTAAGTCACATCTTAAAATCAACCATAAAAAAATTTATAAATTAAAAAAAATATATTTCTTTTAAAATATACTGATAACTAACTACTTTAAGATGTATTATATCACATTTATAATTTAGATTGGTTTAGACCTAAATACTTATATGTGTTTGAATTTTGCCAGATGAAAAATTAAAAGGTATGAAAAAAAGGGAAAATATTTTGATTTAATATGGCAACCATTGTTGCGAAAACAAATTTTTAAGTATTATACAAATATAAATAAATTTGAACTTAACAATTAATTTTTTTATATAATGTGTTAGAAGCAGTGCGACTCTTCAGATCATGTTTGTGTCCAGCTAACATATACCTGTTGGCTTACGTTGGATCCGTCTACTCCAAATTATGCTGGTCCATCAATTTTATTGGTATTTTTGTTTTATTAAACAAATTTTTTAACGTATTTGTGGTTTTTAATTCTATTTTATATATTATTTTATTGTATCATTTTGATTTTTGAACATTCTCGGCGAAGCCAGAAATGTAAGTCATAGACACAAAAGTTTTGGGTTGAATGTTCAATTCACTGCTTTCAAGGGTTTTTGCTCTTTTTTGTCTAAGATTTGATAATATTAATTGGTAAGTAGTTTTTGATTAATACACTAATAAGTGTTTTTTATTTTTATTAATTATTTCAAATCAAATAATTATTTTATTAATTTAAATTTCATTAATTTTTATTTTTTTAATTTAGTAAAAATTATTAAAACAGCTACGCGGTATATAATACGCGGTAATACCTAATAGCGCTAGGAAATTCAATTAATTTAGAAGACATATTATATCAATAAAGTTTAATTGAACTTTTTTCATTACTGATATATTATTTTAAATTTTTTGCTACTTTTTTTTGTAGCAAATAAAGTATAAATCTTCTATATACCTTAGGAATACATAAAAGTTTATTATGTACATTAACTTTAATTTTATAAAAATTTTTCCTTATATTTCAGCACTTGAGAGTTAATTTCATTGGAGAAATCAATATCTTTTGTGAATGCATTTCTAAAAACAAATACTCTGTAGGGCCATGTAATGGTCATGTTATGCAGAGTGTCTCGGGCACGGCATGAGTACAATTGTTGTTGTTTTCAATGCAAATTTTAAATTTGAGAATGAGAGAAAAAAGAATATGGTCGTTCAAACTCCGGCATGAGAGCCGGCGTATTTGTGCCCCGGCACTAAGGCAAAACAGTGTTGTTTAGTAATAAATTTCAAAATTTGCGCCTTTTAGGAGCAAACTATTACAATTCTAGTACGTTTTGGAGAAAAAATGGCAGTAAGCAACACAGCATTTTTTTTATAAATCGCTAATAATATAATTATTACACTTTCCGATTTTAAAGAAACGCGTAAGTACTGTTAACAATTATTATAAGATAATATAATAATAAATTAACATTATTACAGCCTCTATGAGTTTTTTCTTGCTAGTTATTTTTGGTGCCAAATTGAAGTGAGCATATCTAAATTTCCTTTTAAATTTAGGCACAACCAAGAAGTAGTAAAAATACAAAATTGGCAATACTGATGTGACACTCTGCATAACATGCATTTTCGGCATAGCCCGAAAGAGCGTAATTTGCCGTGCCCGAGACACTTTGCATAACATGGCCCTAATATTTTAGTTAATATTCTCTGAAAGTCCCTATAGATGGCGAAGTAAACGGATTCTATTTTTTAATGGAAAACCTGTTTTTGGAAAATCCTGTTTTACAAAACTTTCTTAGTGTTTTGTAAAAAAATGTACTTGGTTTCAAAGCACATTTTTTACAGTTTTACGAAAAATTTGTATACTATTTGAGTATAGAAGAACAAATGGATAGCTTTGAGGTTCTACGTGTAGTTATCAAATTTCTAACATATATTTCTTGTATATTTATGCCTGCGAAAATTCCAAAACTTTCATGAATTTTTTTTAACGGATATAATATTTTAATACTTTACGTTTTAGGTCTTATATATATTTGATCTATATTTTTTCAATAATCCCGCATTTTTTAATCATTTTTAAAGGCAGCTCAAATTGCCTGTTTTTTTTAAAGAAAGTGTTTCAAACAAATTTCAAGATTTTCCAATGCTGAATAAAAGCGTAAAACATTTTATACGTGTATTTATTCCATAGTGAAGTAATTTTTAATTGAACAAAATACATAAATAATTGATAAAAATAACTGATAAGGAGAATAATTTGGCTTTCTTTATGCTTTTTGACATAAACATCATATTTGTTCTTTCAAAAGCGTTGCTAACTTAGCGTTAGTCACTTTTGATACTAGAAAAATAAATAAATTGCACTAGAGAAGCAAAAAGCTTAAGAGTTAAAATGTCTATATTGTTATTTCACTCATACACTTGTGCTTGTGTATAAAAATTCATTCAAACAGCACTTATAAATCTTCAGCTCCTAAATTACTCAAAAATGTCGTCGTGGAGCATATTATCTTGAGAAGGACTAGTCTAAGAAGTCCTCCATATTGCTATTCCGCTTATACACATATGGTTATGCATAAAAACTTACTGAAACAACACTTATTACCTTCGTGTGACTCTTGCCGAATGCAACAGTGCTTCAGATTCGTTAAGTTTTACCAAAGAGTTTTTACACACAGAGAACTACGTTTATAGTCCAACTGCAATAGTTTGAGTGTGTTACGTTACGACAGTGAATGGTCGAGTAAAAATACACAATGTAAAGAAAACTTCTTTGATTTAAAGGTTTATATAAATATATACTTGTATATAAAGTATGAAACAGGGTTTTAGAAAGCAAATTACATGCAAATCTACTTCCATAACTCGAGCTTCTATAACTCAAATTTCTCCACAACTCAAACAAATATATTGTCACGTCCCAATAGGAATAGGGAAAGTGCATTCTATAAGTCAAATTTTTGTTTTAAGTATGAATCCATTTCGGTGTTAAGGAAGTCCCTTTTTGCAAACCAAATCTTTCATTTTTTCTCTCTCATGTTGCTTCGTTGCGTAAATGCCAATCGCTGGCAGCATATTTTAAAGTAAATATGATAAGTTCCGATGCTACTATTAACGATTACATTGAGCTTGACAATGAAATTTGTACATCTAGTCTTTCTACAGATGACGATATTATTGAGCATTAATTCCTATAAATTAATGGATCCGACGGGAACTGATAAGGAGGGTTCAGTGTATGAAATTGTTCATTAGACTTTCAGACTTCCAAGCATGAAGTAAAGGATTCATTTAAAATTCTGAATTTTTATTTACAATCGAATGATACTGCAACTCAAGATCACTATAAGACTTCAAATAAACTGGAACCTCTTAAAAACCTCTTTCTGAAAGTAAGAAAAAAATTTGAAATCCCAAACCCTAATTTCTGAATGTTTCACTTCACTATCACTTCTGTGCTGTATTTGATTTCAAAAAATTAAATAAATATCATAAAACGTAATTCTAGTTTCTTTTAAAAATAAGAACAAGAAGATAAGAAATTCTTTAATTCGACGTCTTTCTAATTCGAACATTTTCTTTGAAAAATGGTACTCCGAGTTATGGAAGTTTGACTGTATATATTTCCTGTTTTGTCTTTAATTAATTTATTTATTTAAATTATTTTTTTATTAAGACAAAATAAATACTTTACGTTTGTGCATAATTTTCAATGTGTTTGAAAATAATTCGAAGTAAGTATAAAATAATTTAAAGGTTATTTGTTATTTTAAAATTTTGAAAAAATATGTAAAAATATGTAAAAAACAATCTCATAACATATAAGTTTGTACAATTTATTCATTTAAAAAAAAAAATTATTATTAAAATATATAATCGATATTAATATAATAAATTAAGTTCAATATTTATATTCTTAATTAAACTTTATATGAATGATCCCACGTAACAAATTTGTCCATATAATAAAATTTAATTAAAGTGATGTAGAGAAATATACATGTCTCAAGTAAAAAAAATAAAGTTAAATCATCTTCACAAGAAAATCAAAACAAAATATGTATAACTTTTTACTTAATTATATAACCAAAATTATTTATTAATTGTGGAACAGACTAGTTTGATTTTTAGTATGTTCCCATAGCCTGCTTTGAACCAGCTTAATTAAAGTTTTACGTAAAAGTTTTTTCACATGCGTAAATCAACTTATGCTACTGGAAACAACCAAATCTTAGCTCTATTAATGTAAGATGATTTAACTGCAGTGGAAACATGGTATTAATTTGATGTTTCAATCTATCTTTACTTTCTAATGAAATTATGTTTTGTTCGTGTGAATAGATCACAATCAAAATTACAATTACTAGTGCTATGTAAATAGCGTACTAGCGAAATGTTGCAATAATATTTTCAATAATAATAATATATAATATATTCATTTTGATCCTTTGATTTACTAGTATTATTTACAATTCACAATTCACATGCAAAATATGAAATTAATTTCAAAATTAATTTTATTTTGAATAAATTGCATTTTAATCGTAATTTTGACTTTCTGATTTTTGTGTGAAATCGGATTTAAATTCAAACTGATTCTGTAACTAAGCGAGCCGAACTAGTTAAGTTATATCAAAATAATGCCCAATGCCCGGTTAATAACTTACGATGTTCGCTGTAGTTCAATCATATGGAACTATCAAATGGAATTGCCAGCGACTTCAACTTTATCGCACGCACTGCTACATTTCCATAATAAAGCCCAACTTCATTTTTGACATTTCAAAAAAATATATTAAAAATAAGTACACACACTTTTTTTTGGACAATTATATTTTCCGCAATATTCAAATTTTTGGACGTTCTAGTTTCTAAGAGTTCAAATTTACAAGAATCAGGTGTAAAATATAATCAATTCCACATTACATTCCTGTATGTACTAAAACGCAACTAAGTTTCGAGTATACTCTGTTCGTCAAGCTAGCATCGACTTAATTAGAACAGAATACCGAAGTACCGAAGTTTTTAGTATAAAGCATCGTCGCACTCAATACGGTCGTGTTTTCGGATGTCCGGGAATACAGAAGTGAGTTTGGAAAAGTTGATTTCGGTGAGTCCTACTGAAAACTCCAGTGTTTGTTAATTAATAATGTGTCGCTTTAACGTGATGAATATGCTGTCCTTAAATTGCTTTTAATAAATTAAAAATTTTGCTACAAAAAAAATTTTGTGCGGCCATGTTTGTGATTTTGATTTTTTGAGTGTCCAAAAATTTTAATTTAAGATTTTAATTTTTAAAAACTTTCATTCAATTTTTCATTCATGTTTTTTGCATATATTTTGTTTAATTTTAATGAATTGTTTCTTTTTTCGCAATTTTCTATTTTTATTCTAAACTCAAATTTACAGAAAGAAATTGGTGAAGCAACTATTCACGAAGAGGATGCCGAACAAGAAAACGATTCGAAAAATGACGAATCGTTTGATTCGGTTGCCAACATGGCGTGTTCTGATAATTCCCTTCGTGAAGTTGTAGGTAAAGAAGTGTCCAATTCAAGAAATAGTGAATTGGGTAACTCAGCTTCGTCAATGGGTTCGCACAAAAATATTTTATTTGAAGATGTGACCACACATGCGCATGAAACTGAAAATATCGCTATAAGTTCAGGTGAACTTGCAGGTGAAAATACTGCAAATAAGAAATTAATAAGTTTTTTTGAAGATATGGGTTCGGATGATAATCTTACGTTTGAAAAAGCATCCATACAGGTCAACAGTGATAATACAAATGAGAATACTTTATATGAAGAAAATAATGATTCGCAGGCTTATGAAGATTTAATCACATTTTCCGATTCAGATGTTGAACCTTTAAATCAAGAAAGTGTTTTACAAATTAATGATTCTGAAAAAGTCGAATTAAAAGAGTTAATTCCGCAGATACCACACTTAAATGGTAGTTTTTCACATGAAGAAACAAAAATGAAAGGTGAAAAATATGATTTTTTTCTTTCCGATACATTTCACGAATCAGATAGCAGTTTACTTAAAAAACCATTCACACAAATAAATGATACCCAAACCGATAAATTGTTGGATCTGCCTATAATATTGACGGCAGATAATACTAGTTCGCAAATAGAAACAGATGAGATTCCGCAAATTGCTATTCAAAGCTCATTTGGTTCAATAATACACTCTAATTTTTCTAAAAGTGATGTATCAGCAGGTCCAGTTACAGATCTGAGCCATGATGATATTATTTTGCGAAAAGAAACAAATAACTTTTCACTAATCTCTACTCAGAACTCATTTGAATCAATAATATTTTCCACACCTGATAATAACCAATCCAATGAAGAACCAATTATGCAGGCAAATGATTCCGAAAACGAAACATCAAAAGATTCGATTTTTGTTTTAAGTTCAGTTCATAATATTTTTCAAGAAGAATCATATAATCTTTCACAGATGTCAACTCGAAGTACATTTGGTTCCATAATAATATCTCTACCAGAGAACAATCAATCTAATGAAGAACCAGTTATACAAACTAATGATTCTATAAAGGAAGAATCAGAAAATTCATTTATTACTTTAAATTCCGTTAATAACCAAACTCATGAAGAAATATATAACATGTCGCACATTTTTACTCAAAGAGACTTTGGTTCTATGATAATGTCTGTTCTTGATAAAAACCAAGCCTATGAAGAGCAAATTATGCGATCAAATGACTCTGAAAGCGTCAAATCAAATAACGAAGTCAGTTCTATAAAAATGTCTGTATCAGACACTAACCAATTATTTAAAAAGGCAATTGTAAAAGCAAACAATTCTAAAAGTAATGAATCAAAAGATGCGATTACGGTTCCAAACTTAAATTATGAAAAACACAATTCTTTTGTTACCGAAACATTATGCGGCTCTAATAATGTATTACGTGAAGAATCTTTTGAAGAATTACACGGCTCCGAAATCGGTGAATCAGTGGATACGGTTATAACATTGAATACAGAAGATAAAATATTTAAGGAAGAAACAATTTCTATGGCACATATGTCTTCTAAAAGTGCATTTGGTTTAAAAATAATTTCTATACCGGATAATAAACAATCTTATTTGGAAAATATTTTAGAAGAAAACGATTTTAAGAACGAAAAGTTAGTACATGCAAATTCGATCCCGAGCTTGGATGTTTTATATGAAAAGCTAAAGAATGAGTTGGACCATTTTAAAAAACTCAACCATTCTTTGTCGTCAATATCTTGCAATTTCGATAATATTTTACGTGATTATACGTTTACACCCGTAAAGATTTCTAGAAGTGATGAGTCACTAAATTCGCTTGCAATATCAGATCCAAATAATAATGATTTGGAAAAAGAAATACAAGAAATTACCGACGAAAAGTCAAGCGTTTTTGGTTCAATTATACAAATCAACGATTCTGAAAACTATGGAGTAAAAGATGCGATAATAGTTGCAAATACAGGTGAAGATGTCGTGGACAAGAAAACAGATGAGTTAATCGATGCTCTTATAATTTCAAATAAAAATGATGATATGTTACAAGATATATCTAATAGTATTCCGGAAATCTCAATACAGAACTTATTAGACTCATCAAATATGAAAGACGTAGCAAATCATGAGGAAGAATTAGATCAACAAGATGAAAAGTCCAAAATGGAAATTGTTCAGAAAACCCATGATTTAGAAACGGTGAAACCGGAACAGAAAAAAACTGATGGTAATATAATTTTGTGCTTATTTATTTACAAATATACAACTTAGTTATAATATAGATGAAAATATTTATACATACACAATGTTTCTATCATTAAAATGACATGATAATAATAGAAAGAAAAATACATCCATAATACTCGTACCTGCGAAGGCACATATTTTACAACTTCGTCAGTAAAACATTCCGAGTATTTAAAATATTATTTACGTTAGGTTTCTAGTACTGTATATATCCGGGGCTAAGAAAATATTTTATTATGGCTATATTAATTACAGCTAATTTTATTGTTTGAGTTAATCTAATTTGTCACAAAAGTCCTGAAAATATATACTATAATTTTTACCTCGCTTTCGAATAACAGGGTTTTTCCTTTAAATAATTTATTGTTTATTATATTCTTAAAAATTTTAAATGCTTATTTACGACATGAACTTGACTAATTGAATCCTACTAAAAAGTAATGCCAAACGATGATATAACATATATAATGTTTTCATATCAGTTCACAGTTAGCTTTTGAACTCTCATATTATTTAAATGAATCTCTACTCTTTTTATATTTTTTTATTAGTTATAGTTTTTTATAGCAATTGGCATTTAGTAAATCCATTTTCTTTTATGATACTTGCGCTAAAAGGTTTATATATTTTAGGGCGGTTATGATACTCACATTAACAGATAAGCATGACTAACGTTTATGTACCTCAAGATTATTGACAAATATGATTTCAGTTTTACTTTCATTAACATTTCCAGAGTTAGTGATTGCTAACACACTTGTAAAACCACAAATGAATAATATGGCAAACTCTTTTGAAAATATTTTGGCGAATATTCCAGAAGCCATACGTCGCTCTCCGAATGATTCGAATTCAAATAGTGACGGTCAGCAAAATGGTCCTGAAGTTTTTTCATATTCAACAAGAGGACTTGCGTTGTCTAGTGCAAGAAATGGTTTTGTACGAAACGGTGTTATAACCGTGCGAACTAGAGGTGCGATTCCATACCGACCAAACCATCGCCCTATGTATGTAATCAATTCCCTACAAGAGACGCAAAGGCGTATGAGCAGTAATCTGCCATTATCACAAAATCTTGATTGGCGAACCAGCATTAATATTTTAACTATGCAGACACAAAGAGTAAATCAAGTCAGCAACCAAGTCAGTGAATACAATCACTTTGCTTCTCGCCGCAATAATCAAAACACAGCACAAGTTTGTTGGTATGAAGACAATAATTCAAGATCCCGTTACGGAATTGAACCAAATTACAATAATTCTTATCCGAATTATATGGCGTTAAGATCCAACACCACTCCGGTTCCAGAATTAAACAGAGCAAGCACCTTGGAAGAGCGCATAGACGAACTTTTACAAATTGTCAAGAATCTGGATGATCTGTGCAATAATGCTGTAGTCAAAATTACAACCCGAACTACGCAACAGGGCTCTAAAAATGCATTGATTCGCAATTTATATTCAACACTTTTTGATGAAAATATTGGTAGTGTATTGAAAACAACAAAGGGAAGGGTAAGACAAAACCACAAATTAAAATTTCAATTTACCTATTTTTTCACATATTTTTAGTTATTAATATGTCGGGTAATGCCTTATTTGGGCAATAATCCAAAGCGTTGGAACATTTGGATTGAAGTTCTAGACTCTGTGCAACGTATATTCAATAAGGATCGCAGAGAGATTAACAAAATGTTATGCATTTATTCTGAGTTTGAAAAGGATGTTGAAACAGCCGATTTTGGGACTATCGTTCGAATGGCTAAGGTTATTCCACTAAACAGAAAAAAAAATGCTCTATTATGTTGCCGCGTAAGTATCCTTTAATATCAAATCACATGAAGAGTTTATGTTTCTAATAAATATATACTTAATCATATGTGTGCTCTAATTAGTTTGGCCTGTCCATCCTTGTCTGTCTTATAACTAATGCAGAACGAGTCTATGTCAGCGGTGATGATAGCACTATGAATAACATCAACAAAAGTGCTTGGCGTTTCTTTTTAACTGAACTTGCTGTGGCTGTAAATGACAGGAAGTACATGCTTATCACAATCAATGCCTCGCAGAAGTCTAAGGAAAGTGCTCTGAAGCATCTCACTCGTTTTACTGGCTTGAAATTGGATATGCTCGCGGATTTTATTACAAAAACCGTGGAAGTGCTTAAGGACACTTAAAAAATATCATACACTTATTATATCTCATTAGTAAATACATTAATGAATTTCACAATTACTTATTTAACTTTATCATAACGTCATATTCTTAAATAATCATTTAAATAACTTTCAATTAAATGCTGTTCATTCAGTCTAGTTTTACATATTACAAAATGTGAAAATTCACGGGCTAGAAATAAGAATGCCTTCGGAAATAAAATGTATTTACTTAATCAATTTGTGTTTATTTATTGTATATTGACAAAAGCTGAATTATACTGTATAACAGTGGCGTGACGTCCAAATAAGCCCATTCCTATCGGCTTATCCTTTACAAACCACTCTTTAACATAACATTGTAGATGGAAATATAAGATTTCAATATATGTATTTCGGTTTAGTTTCGGTATGTTCCAGGTCGCATGGTGGATGTAACTGTAGGAGTGCCTAGTCAATGCAGTTGTGCAGTAACATTTGTGATTAAAGAATCGTATTCTTGTTCTAGGATAAATGTATTTGATTTCGTTTTATTTGTTGACTCTTCTCTTAGTGTATATAATTTCTAAGGCACTAAAATGATAATATGTGGATTAAAAGTTTAAAGAAATTGAGAAGGGTTTGGCCTAAGATAATGGGAGATCCGTTGTATTCATATACAACGACTGATAGGCGTATGACACTTATATGTGAGAACACTTATAATGACTAATATTATAATATGTTTACTCGTATTACCTGATCAACAAAGGTGTAGTATAGTGTAAATATGTAAATATATCACATTATTGTCGCTGGTATTATACGTATGACGTGGTTTGTTGAGGCTTACAATGCCGTCTTTTTCATCATATTGGCGTTGATTGTCAATACTATGTTTTATATGAATAGTATTAGATATGAAAATTAGTTCTATACATTGCACAATAGATTTATCTCTCATTAACTCATATAGATTTTATTTCTAATTAAGTCCATTTTTTACAAAGTCATATATCAATATCAATACATTTCATATTTTCTTTTTTAATTAAAAGTATTCAATTTAATTTAATACTTAAAAGGTTGGAAGTGCACGTTTAAGACCACTTTTGTACCCTAGTTCCAAGGCAGGAATTCTTCTCATTTCTAAGTTTGTGTGCTGAAGCAATTTAGATAAGTGGTTAACACTGCCTTTTTGAATTATTTCATGTACAGTAGGGATTTTCAGGTCTTTGTAAATATCGTCGTTTGTGATGTACCGTCTAGCATCTACTATTGTTCGCAGGATTTTTGATTGCAACCTCTGGATTGCATTTATATTTGTCTTACAGGTAGTTTCCCAAATATCAATTCCATATTTCCAAATCGGGACAATAATAGTTTTAAAAATCAGTAGCTTGTTATCTATTGACAGACTAGAATTTTTACCAGGAAGCCAATATAGATCAGCATATCTTCGATGCGTTTCCTTTTTCTTCTATATTATGTGATCCTTCTAAATCAGCTTTTGGTCTAATAACATGCTCAGATATTTGGCGTTCTTGCAGATTGGTATATTAATTATCACAATTTTCAGTTTCTGTTCTTCAAATTTTCTCTTGGTGAAAACAACTTGGATAGTTTTTCCGGTGTTTATCTTAATCCCCCAGGTGTCAGACCACAGACCAATGCGTCACTTCATTCAGATGATTTTGAAGGTTAGCAGTTGCTTTTTTGATGTCATGGTTTATTGATAAAAGTCCAATGCCAGTATATAGTAGATACATAATATGGCCTAATGCACTCTTTTGAAGGACATTGGCTTCTATTTTTATCATGTGGGATGTGTCGTTTTGATATTGCACAAAGAAGTATCTATCTCTTCAATAGTAAATAAAAATTGTCAGGCAAAATTCTTGATAGCTTGTGAAACAATCCTTTGTGCCAGGCGCTTTCGAATGCTTTGGCTACGTCTAAAAACATACCCACAGTGATCTCCTTAGAGTCTATATTCATTGCAATGCTTTTTACGAAATCCAAATTGGTGACTTGGCAATAGGTTGTTTTTTTGTATTATTGGTTCTAGTCAAGAGAAGAAAAGATTTTCGAATAAGATGGGTAATAAGCTGATCGGTCTGTAAGAGTTGACAATTGAAGCATTTTTGTTTGGTTTAGGTATTACTACAATACTCGCTACTTTCCAAGCAGAAGGGAAAATTTTATTGCTAATCATACAGTTAAGGATGTTTCTAATGTAAATGATTACTATTACAGGCAATTCTAGAAGGAATTTACCAGTTATCTCATGATAGCCTGATGATTTTTTTTGAGTTGATGTTAACAGCGATGATGGTTTTTATTTCAGCAATTGTTATCTTCTTAATTTTGACGTTCTTATGGGTCAGGTTGTTGTGTAATGCATGGTTTGTATCATTTTTAAGGTTTGTAAATGGGCTCTTTTAGACCATGAGAATCTCTAATCATTATTGTGGACGCTTGTATTTGTTTTGTACTATAATTTTCTGATGCTGAGCTAATTATACAGTTTATAATAAAGATGGCAGTTCGTGATGGTTGGTTTGAAAAATTGTATAATTGTCTAGTTTAACGTAGCTTTTCTCAGTAAATGCGTTTTTGAGGTTAATAATCGAATTTAAGTACTCAAAAGTTTTTAATTCATTGACATGTCTACTGATACCGTTTGCATTCCATGCTACTATTTTCAAGTCATTATATTTACCCATTGATTTTTGGGCATATGATGATGTTTGTGGGATGTTGGCATTTGCGTTTTGAGTGGGTGCATTGTTTGTTATGTTAGAAGATTATTGATTGCTTGTTTGGACGGGTATTACTTTTTCTTCTATGTTTGGATATCGTTTGATTTGAAGTGATTTGTACACCTCCTATCCCTTGTATATATATATCCAATCTATATATATGTAACAAAGCAATAATAATAAAAAAGACAAAACCAGAGACCTGATGCCTTTGTAGAGAGATTTTAATAATGTGTACAATTTCATAATAAAAAAAATTAATTTATGTACTTTGAGGAAAAACCAAATTCTTTTATATACAAAAAAATTAAAAATTCAATTTAACTAAAAGAACTTATGAATAAAAAAAATTAAATGATGTAAAGAAAAAAATTAATTAAACGTAAAAAAAACTAAATTAAATACTGAGATCACTATATGATGTGTATAAATGAGAAATATATAATAAATTAAAAACAAAAAAAATTATATTAGCATTAAGCGAAGCAATAAAACGTTTTTTTCTTCAACTCCATTAATTATTTAAGTTTAATTTAACCACTTTGGGTACCGGCAGTGGGGTTCAAACAAATAAAAATTGGGTCCTGCTATTTTCGTTTGCAAATAGGTTAGCTTACCGCATCAGCCGCCATTAGATGTAATTGTGGGGCTACTTAACCATATACATACTGCGCCCGATGAGAATTTACTGTTGTTGATCTGGTCGGTGCGCCCATACAATAGGAAGTATATACTCCGCCATTCAAGCAATTTGACCAGGTAATTTATTTTTTATTTGTATTTGAATTTTTGGTCTTTTATAAAGACACACTTTACTTAGTCAGAAATGTCACAAATGTATTGTAACTGATTATTTTGAGACCTTTTAACATGTTTAATTTCTGAGACTTCTCAGTTGCAAAAAGCACCCATCTTATTTTATTCGCGACTTGTTAATCCCAAAATAAAAACTTCTCAAAGTCTCTTCTTAATATTTTTAATAAAATTTTCAAAATTTTTCGATCTTCTTAAAGTCACTTTTTAATATTTTTAATTTCTGCGACTTCTCATTTGAAACAAAAAAAAAAACAGTCACATCGAAGCAAATAACAGAAAAAGAAAAACCAGCTCTTTCCACCAAACGTCACCTTCTATATCCAAAAATATTCCGTAACCGATCCGCTTTCTCAAAATTTTTGCGCGCTTCCCCGACCGTTTTTCAAACTCGCTGTTACAGTTCTTTCCTCCTTTTTGCACATTCCGAAATTTTTCCAACGACTAGTATCACTTTTATAACTTTATTTATATTTATATTGCGCACTGCTCTGGCAGCATTGATATATCAGGGATTTTGTTGTTTGTTAACTACTCCTTAAGTAATAGACCTTCTTCAAAAAGATTTTTTTTTTGTTATGTTGGTACACCCTTTCTTGACATATGGGACAAATTTGAGCGCCATTATTTTTATTATTTAAAATTCTTGTTGTACGCGATTTTTTGACCAAACACGGCACCACTGTCATCGCTCAGGCACTATATTCGTCAGATCTGGATCCGTGCGACTTTTTCCTGTTCCCGAAACTCAAATTGCCCCTTCGTGGTAAGTGTTTTGAGTCGATTGAATCGGTAAAAGAGAATTCGCTGAAGGAACTAAAAGCCATACCTTCACGGGTCTACGAAAACTGTATGAAAGATTAGATTAAGCGTTGGCATATGTGTATCGCTTCAGAAGAAGCATATCTTGAAGGAGATAAAATAAATTTGGAACAAAATTTAAATTTGTGTGTTTTATTTACCAAATCCGAGTACTTTTTGAGTAGAAGGTATATATAATACAGAAAAAAAGTACACAAAAAAAGTGATGCTCCTTGCATGTTATCGCGACGGCGAAACGATTCTGGGCTAAAAGAACATTGGGTTAAATTGTGTAGTATGCTGAATTCTGTGCTACAGGGAGCGGTGAAAAATGTTGAGGAATAGCGTCAGACTTTCGATGCGTTATCGTATTTTTATGTACATACAAAGCAATTCAAAAGTAATCAGCTAAGCAGACAGAGTGCTATAGAGACTTCTGGGACGTCCCAGATAAAATCCTAAATTTTTTGTTGTGTATTTTATCTCCAATTTTTTTACTCTCTTTGACACAGGCCTACATAAGCTTAGCAATTCTGAATACACCCAGGGAACAAAACACCCTAACAGCGTGAGACTGTTCCCAAAAACACAACTCTCTTATTCTGAATTGCTTGGGAGACAGTAGTTTTGGGAACAACAACAGTTTCGAATTTGTTTTGTTAAATTTTGGCAACCATGGCATTTTTTAATGACGAAAAGTGCGGAAATGACCAAAGCAAAGAAAAGAATTGCGTATCATATGTTGATTTAAAGAAATCAACTTATTATATATAAGAAATAAATATAATGAATATTTTATAAGTAAATAATAGAAAAGTTTTATTTTAATTATTTATTTTATTATCTAAATATGTATATAATTTATTATTTTCTTATGTACA